TCCTCCTCTTACTCTTCCTCCTCCTCATCTTCCTCCTCCTCCTGCTCTTCTTCTTCCTCTTCCTCTTCTTCCTCCTCCTGCTCCTCCTCGTCTTCGTCATTATTGCCATCGTCATCCTCCTCCTCCTCCTCCTTTTCCTCCGCTTCATCAGCACCATCTGCTACGTCTTCCTCGTCCGTCGCGTCTTTCTTCTACCCTGCCGACCGGTTTGCCGTGGCCGGACCCCTCGGCTACAGCCTCCCAGACTCCGTCGGCAGGACAGACTCGACGAGCTCTCGCCTCCTTGCCTGCCTGCCTCCCCCTCCCGCATTCCTCACCGCTGTCGGCCGTGCCACCTCTCACCCTTCCACTGCGCCTCCTCACGACGCCTCCGCCTCCTCATCATCGAATCCCCCTCCACACCCCCCACCACCGCCAACTCCACCTCCACCCTCAGCATCAGCACCAGCACCAGCACCAGCACCAGCACCAGCACCAGCTTCTCTATCATCTGCACCACCCGCCAGTCTGCTTGAAGAGATGACCAGACTGGCCGGCAGTTACCATGACGCCCAGACGATAGTGGAACAGCAGCTTGGCGATTCTGTCGATTATGCGTCCGAGTGCTCGAGACAGAGGCTGGTGGGCGAGCCACTGTTCGCGGCCAGTCAAGACCTCCTGCACTGCCAGCCGGCCTCCAGTCACCAACATCATCATCAACTTCTTCATCCTGCCCCACCTCCTCCTCCTCTTCCTCCTCCTCCTCTTCATCACCACCACCACCAGCAGCATCAGCAGCATCAGCAGCAGCATCATCATCATCATCATCCTGACCAGCAGCCTCAGCAGATAGCCCTTTTTGAGCAGGACCGTTTGCAGAACACTCACTTATTCTCGCACCCCCATCAGCAGCCCTCCCCCCTGCAACACATTCACTACCAGCCGCCACCTCAACCTCAACCTCAGCCACCGCATCAGCATCAACATCAGCATCAGCATCAGCATCAACATCAACATCAGCATCAGCATCAAGACGGCTTGGAGATGTCGATCTACCAGGGCGGCAGTCACTGCCAGAGCCTTCTGGGCGCCTCCGCCTCGGACGACGTGTCGTCCGGCTTCTCGAGCCACTCGTCCATCGCCGGCTACCCGCACTACGCCGGTCTGCCCGCCCCCACCATGGCCGGCTTCACGTCCCACTCAGCCTTCCAGCCGGGCCACCTGCACCACCTCCACCAGCTACACCATTTGCAGGCGGCTGCTGCCGCCGCCGCCGCCGCAGCTGCAGCCGCAGCCGCAGTTGCCGTCGACGCCTCATCGCCAGGACACCCACACAATCATCAGCATCACCCCCAACACCAACAACAACAACAACAACATCAACTCCATCAACCACAAGCACCACAACATCAGCATCAACACTATCAACACCAGCATCAACATCAACATCAACATCAGCAGCAGCAGCAGCAGCAGCATTTCTGTGAGGCGGAGAGTCTGATGTCCGTCACCGAGGGAACAGTGGTCTACGGCCACGCACACGCACACGCACACGCACACACCGGACTCGGCTTGTCCGCGTGTCCGGCAGACGAGGTGTCCGGCGGCCTCAGCCTCGGGTCGCCCGGACCTCGACTCGAGGCAACCGGCGTCGCCAAGACCTACGTCAATGGTCTGTTGCCAAGGGCTTTGCCGGCCGATCTGGAGTCGGTGGTAGAGACGGTGAACGGAGCACGCACTTTGCCCTCGGTCCCGGCGAGTCCACGCGCCATCTCGTCCAATCCGAGCGTCAGAGAAGAAGCCCCCTTCGCGCCCCCCTCCCTGGCCGCCTCGCTCGCCTTCGCCCCCCCGGCGCCGGGCGCCCAACTGCACAACAGCCTCGCCGCGCCCACCACCGCCTATTCAGCCTATCACTCCGCCGCGCCGCTCACCAGCCACACGGCCTCGCCCCACTACCCTGCACCGTCGGCGCCCACTCCAGCTGCCACCCCAGCCTTGGCAACCACGCCCTCCTCCTCCTCCTCCGCCTCCTCCTCCTCCTCCTCCTCCTCCTCCCTCCTCGTCTCGCCCGGCGGCAACTCCTATGGCCAGCCCGCCGGTTGCCAGGCTCATCTGCCCTCGGCCTACTACACTTCTCCCGTCTTCCTCTCCACTCGCAACGCCTCCCCACCCTCGCCCAACCTCTCG